CCAGCACCCACTTGGCGGCTCACAACTGTCTAACTGCAGTTGCAGGGGATACAACACTATCATACAGACAGACAGACTTGCAGGCAAAACACCAATGTACACAAAATAAAGATAAATAAATCATTTAAAAACAAAACAAAACAAAAAAAAACCCTAGCTCAATAATGTCAGGTCTCCTGGAATCTGAGTTACAAGCAGTTGTGAGCCAGCATGTGGGTGCTGGAACTGTGTGGGCTCTTTGAAAGAAGTGCTCTAACCAGAAAACCATCTATCCAGCCCTGCCTTATTCTTTAAAATAAGAATCAGTCAGGCATGTTGGCACATCTTTAATCTCAGGGGTATCTCTGTGAGTTCAAGGCCAGCTTGGTTTACTTAGTGAGTTCTAGAACAGCTAGAGCTATATTAATCTGGAGAGAGAGGAGAGAGATTGAGACTCTCAGTGCTCCTGGAGCTAGAGCTACAGGTGTTTATGAGCTAACTGCCTCATGTAGGTGCTGAGATCTGAACTTGGGTTCTCAGTAAGAGTATTAGTATACACGCTTGTTTTTGCTGTTTGTTTCTTTTTTGAGACAGGATTTCTCTGCGTAATAGTCCTGGCTGTCCTGGAATGGTCGTGGATCCGTTTGCCTCTGCCGCTGAGACCTTGAGTGGTGGGGTTAAAGGTGTGAGCCGCCACTCTCGGCAGCACATGGTCTTAAAAATCACAGAACCCTCTGCTCAGTCCCTGATGTTTGGTTTTGCCTCTTAGCTTGGAGGAGTGTAGAATCTCCTTGGAGACTCACCTTGAGGTGTTTCTGGCAGAGTGTTCAGTATTAACTGGGTGAATGATTTGCCTTCAGAGCAACTAACACCTTCTAAACGGTGGCCCAGATATAAAGATGTCTAAGGGAAAAGCAGTGATGCCTGCCTTGGCTTCTTCCTTCTGAGGATTGTTGATCGCCACCACCATCCTCTGCTGACATTGAATGCCAGCTTCTTCCGCCTTCCAGGTGGACTAAATGAATACTAGAGACTCTCCAGACAGCTTCCGGTCTTCCAACAGTGAGGCATCCAACTTTTGTGGACCAAGTAGCTACAAAGTTCTCAGCCTCTCTAACATACAGATGGACACTGTTGGAATGCCCAACCCTTATCCTGTAAGCCAACCTAGCAAATCCCCTTATAATGTGTATACATGGTCTATTAGTTCCGTTCCTTTAGCTCACCTGGACTAATGCAGCTGTCATTCACGAATACAGGCTCTGCTTCCCACCAAACAGATGTCAAGATCTAGAAATGTTATTTCTCAAAGAAACTGTCCAAGCCACCCCCCTCCTACTTAAGGTCACTGTTCTTTATTTCCCCTCTCCCTTGAAGGAACAATCACCTCTTAGTTTCCTCTCCAACCTCCCCTTTCCACTTTCGATCTTATCAAGAACAAACTTCTACTAGGTGTGGTGGTTCTCCCCTGTCACGGAGCACTGGGAGGTGGTGGCTGCGAGTTCAAGGTCAGCCTGGGGTACTGGTGCACAATTCTGCCACCAGTAAGTAAACAAACAAACAAGAAAAAAAAGTCAGACGCTGGGCGAAGGTAGTGCACGCCTTTAATCCCAGCACTCGAGAGGCAGAGGCAGGCGGATCTCTGTGATTTTGAGGCCAGCCTGGTCTACAAGAGCTAGTTCCAGGACAGGCTCCAAAACCACAGAGAAACCCTGTCTCGAAAAAACAAAAAAAAAAAAAAAGTCAGTAAGTCACTCTCAGCAGGTAAAGTTGTGTAGCCCAACAAATCAGACCCTCCTGACCATGCAATCCACCTCTAGTGGGGATCCTAAGGATCTGGGACTTCCTCTTGGCATTCAGCTCACACCTAACTGCTGGTCTATTTAAAATATAGTTCTTGGGGCTAAAGAGATGGTACAGCAGTTAAAAGCACTTGCTGCTTTTGCAGAGGACACATGCTGGTGCCCAGTACCAACACGGTGGCTCACAAGAGTCTATAACCCTGATACCAGGGAATCTGATGGCCTCTTCTGACCTCGGCAGGCAATAGATATTTACATGGCACACAGACGTACATGCAAGCAAAATACTCATATACATAAAACAAACAAATACATCTAAACTTTAAAAACATGGAGGTGCATGCCTTTAGTCTCAGCACTCAGGAAATAGAAACAAACAGATAGATCTTTGTAAGTTTGAGGGCAACTTGGTCTAAATAGTAAGTTCCAGGCCAGCTAGAGCTACATAGTGAGATCCTGTCTCAAAAGAAAGCAGACCATAACACCAAAAATATTTGAATGAGAATAGCCCCTAGGCTCCCATATTTGAATGCTTAGTCACCAGGGAATGGAACTGTTTGAAAGGATTAAGAGGTGTGGCCTTGTTGGAATAGGTGTAGCTTTATTGGAGGAAGTGTGTCATTCGGGGTAGGGTTTGAGGTTTCAAAAGTCCACACCAGGCCCAGTCTCTCTCTGCCTACTGCCCATGTATCATAATCTGAAGTTCTTAGCTGCTGCTTCAGCACCATGCATGCAGCTATGCTCCCCACCATGATAATAATGGACTAACCTCTTTTTTTTTAAAATATTCATTTATTTATTATGTATACAATATTCTGTCTGTATGCCTGAAGGCCAGAAGAGGGTGCCAGACCTCTTTACAGATGGTTGTGAGCCACCATGTGGTTGTCGGGAATTGAACTCAGGACCTTTGGAAGAGCAGGCAATGTTCTTAACCACTGAGCCATCTCTCCAGCCCCTGGACTAACCTCTTAAACTCTAAGCAAGGCCCCATTTTTCTTTTTCAAGACAGGGTTTCTCTGTAGCTTTGGAGCCTGTCCTGGCACTAGCTCTTGTAGACCAGGCTGGCCTCGAACTCACAGAGATCCGCCTGCCTCTGCCTCCCGAGTGCTGGGATTAAAGGCGTGCGCCACCACCGCCCGGCAGCAAGGCCCCAATTAAAGGCTTACTTTTTTATAAGAGTTGCCTTGGTCATGGTGTCTCTTCACAGCAATAGATCAATGACTAATATGATACACACACACACACACACACACACACACACACACACACACACATTTTTTGAGTCAGAGTCTCACTAGGTGTCCCAAGCTGGCCTCAAACCCAGCTACATCAACTTTCCCAGTGTTGGAATTGCATGCCGCCATGCTAGGCACCAAACTGGGTTCTTTTCTCTCTCCTCTCTGTATCTCTGTTTCAATATCCTTTTCCCCAGGAGTGTCACCGCCATCTACTCAGAGCGTAAGCCTTCTGCACTCAGTTCTCCTAGGAATTACTTCCATCTGGGGACCCTTTCCATCCTCTTGCCCAGAACTCAGTGTGCCCATTCTGGATTAGGGAGCCCTTCTTGGGGTTCCTGTAGCATCCCACAAACCTCTCTTATATTTCAAGTACTCTGTACCGTGAATGCTGGCCTATGATTCTTTCAGACAAGAGCTCTTGGCTAACAAGGCCTCAGAGTTGTGCCGTGATTATATTCTCAGGCCTGAGCAGAACCTGGCTGATCTTGTGTTAACTGAGCCAGTCCCTTGGATGCTTAAATACCTTCTTCGGCTTCTGTTTACCCCTAAGGGAAAGAAGAAAGTTCCTTTCTTTTTAGACAGGGTTTCCTGAGTAGCTCAGGCTAGCCTGGAGTGTACTATTTAGTCCACGCTGGACTTGAATTTGTGATCTTCTTCCCTCTGCTTCCCTGTTCTTGAGACTATAGGCATGTGCTGCTATGCCTAAATCACAGAAGCAATTCTTCTAAACTTTTTCTTTATATTTTACTTACTATCTATTTTTAATTGTGTATATGTGTTATTTTTAATATTGTGTGTGTGTTTGTGTGTACATGCTCATCCCTGGAGGCCGGAAGCATCAAATCCCCTGGAGCTGGAGTTATAGGCAGTTGGGAGCCACCCAGTGTGGATGCTGGGAAGCAGACTGAGTCTTCTTCAAGAACAGCACTCACTCTCAACCACTGAGTTCTCTCTCTCTCTCCCTCCCTCCCTCTCTCTCTCTCTCTCTCTCTCTCCCTTTCACACACACACACACACACACACACACACAGAAAGACCTTTCAAGTCTTTACCACAATCTCTCTTTGCTTCACCCCCTTTATGCTGCGCCCTTTTTGGTGGTCACCTTGACCTTCTTCACTGCCCTGAACCTGCATCTGCTCTGTGTTTCTGCATGGCCCTTGCCTCTGCAAGTTCTTCAGTTTTCTCTGCCAACCCCATGAGAATAAGAACCAACTAGTCTTGCTCATGCCCTGTCTGTGCTACCTAACACACCAACACATAAGAAACTCAGTACATTGAATAAACCATGTACTCGAGACCCCCAAAGCCTCTCTCTGTCTTTAGGCCACCCCAGCTAATGCAATTTTTTTGTTTTGCTTCTTATTGTTTCCTTTTTTTGAGACAGGGTCCTATCTAGCCTAGAACGGCCTCAAACTTCCGATGTAGTAAGTATGACCTTGAATTTCTGATCTTCCTGCCTCTAACTCCCTAGTGCTGACACCAGACAAGGCGCCAGGCCTGGTGTATGTGGTACTGGGGATAGAACCCTGGGTTCTCCTGCATGCCAGGCAAGCACTCTGCCATCTGAGCTTCTACTCCATGCTGTGGTCTAAATAACTAGGAAGAGGATATTGGGATAAGGCATGGGGCAGGGGAGCCCTCATCCCAATCTTTAGCCCAAACTACAGGAGGAAGAGAAGAAAGGTCAGGGGTGGGGCCCTTCTAGAAGGAACAAATGCCCTCTGGAGTCTCAGGGCATTGCAGGCTACCTGCTCAGCTGTAAAACTTTCTCCAGGTGGTGTCATCCTCCCTACCTCCAACTCTACATTCTTCCTGGCCACATTGCCCAGTGGTGGCTGCTCCCCGTGTCCCTCTACCCCTTGCCCCACCATAAGCAAAGGCAGGAAGGTGGAGAAGGCAGTTGGAGGACAGGGTGGGAAGCAGGATTGAGAATGGACTCAGTGTGTATTTTTTTTTCTTCAGCATCTTTACTCATTTTATGTCTAAGAGGAGGTAAACGTGGGTCGCCTGGGTATTCCAGCACACTAGGGCCTGGCTGAGGAGGGACAGGAAGAAAGGGGCGGATGTTCTGGGCCATCAGCTTATTACACAAGTGCCTCTCTCCTTGAAGGGATTCTTGTCTTCTGGGACGCCTCGGAGAAGAGGGTCGGCCCCTGCTTGGGCCTGAACATAATCCTTGATTTCCTTTCCTGTCTTGGAAATCTGTAAGATGACAGACAAAACATGGTCACAGCTCTTGTTTGTGTCTCATAATCTACGACTCGGCGATCTTAGAAAAATGGTAGGGTAGGGCTGAGGTCAAAGAGGAAGAAGGTGGCAGAGAAAGGCGGGCAGAAAGGCGAGTCCCTTGACGGGATGCGTGGCCAGCACAGCCTGGAGACAGGGCTGGACACATTGGGCTCCCCAGAGCTCTCAGCCTTTCCTCTGTGCCGAGGAATGTGAGTGGGGACCCCAGCTGTCTTCTAGATCCCACCCCAGTCCAGAGATAAGTCCTGGGCCTAGCGTCTCCTCCGCATTCCCAACAGAAAGAGATAAAGAAGCGGAGAGGAGGCGTGGCTGGAGGCTCACCGGGTCGCGAGGGTTCTTCACTTCCTTCTTCAGCTGTGCCACCTCCATCCGCAGCAGCTCTTTCTCGCTGAGATCCTGGGCCATCCTGCCCTAGAGGGAGAGCTGTGCCCTGACAGGATCCCGCAGTCACCAGCACTTCCCCTCCAGGCTTCCAGTGCCACACTCTTCCTGACCACACCCCCCAATCAAGGCCCCTCATTGGCTAACATTTCCCTCCACCCTTTGTTCTGTCTAAACAAAGGCTTAGAAGAAGTGACCAGTCAGGTAGGGATAGCTCAGTCTTTGCCCTTGGAAAAGAACTTTTCTAAGGAGGAAACAGAAAAGGAAGGGGAAAATGGAGTTTCAATGGGGAAATTTGGGACGAAGAGTGAACAGGTGATGCTTAGTCTCTAGTTCTGACAAGGGACAGTCAGTATGCCTCATATTAAGACTATGGGTCAGCCAGAGGCCAGCTATGACCCCCAGCTCTGCTGCTCCCTCCTAGTATGACCTAAGACAAGTCACTTGGCTTTTCTGAATCTTAGTTCCTCATCAACAAATGAGTACATAATAGGAATGTTGCTTTTATTCTTTTGAGACAGCGTCTCATGTAGCCCAGGCTGGCTTCAAACTCTCTATGTAGCTGAGGTTGACTTTGAACTCCTGATCCTTCTGCCTCGACCTCCTGAGTTCTGGGATTTCAGCAAGCACCATAGCACCTGGAGTGTGTGCTGCTGAGACTGGAACCTGGCTTTGGGCATGCTAGGCAAGAATCCTATCAACTGATCTACACCCCTAACCCCACTATTACTGTGAGAACTAAGAAGACAATGCATGGCGGTTGCTGGAGAGATGGCTCGCCATGTTGGAGCACTTATTGCCATCGCAGAGGACGAGGATTCCCAGCACCCACCTGGTGGCTCACAACCATCCATAGCCCTAGTTCCAGGGGATCCAACGCCTGCTTCTGACCTCTGTAAGAACCAGGCATGCCTGTGACACACATATATACATGCAGACAAAACACTCATACACATGAAGTAAATGAGAAAATAATGCACGGGAAACATTGTCACACTGTCTGGTACATACTGGCCAGGGCACATTTCCTATTTTTATTTCTGACAATGGTATCATTGCCATCATCACGCCATGGTAACCAGGAGAACCAGCCTCGTGCTTAACCTTAGTTAACTAAGACTAGATCCCAGACCAGTGCCCCCAAAGCCTCCTTACCTGTTAGCACTCTCTCCAAATCACCAGTCCAGGACCAGACGCGATGGTGTTTGAACCTCCTAGTGCCTCATCAGCTGAAAATCTTCAGATAAAGCAGATGGTCAGCCAAGCCTAATCGCTAATGCCTAAGCTGATCATGGGCTCAAAGGGGGGTAAGTCCTGATCCGCCCAGTTCTTCACTCTTCCACCGCAGACACTGGCGTTCCACCCACAAAGTGAAAAACAGGCCGCTCCATTGTAGGCCCTGGACCGCATTAGCGGCTCTCCTTTGGTGACTCCCGCCATGCCATGCTTGCCTCACAGTCTCCCTCCACATGCTCCCATTGCCTGCCTTTCTCCATCTCAGAGCCTGCTCCAAGCCTGTTTCTCCCCAAACGGATCCAGAAGCTCTGTGTCTTCCATTAGGGGGTTCCATAATTTCACCTTACAAGGGTCTGTGGGCTCAGTCTTCATTTGCTCCGTAAAATCATACCCTCACCTCCAATGCTCACTGTTTGATTCCAGGGCCTGTATCACCCTGATGCCATGTCCTGTCTTCTGGGCCTCAAGCCCTCCCTGGCATGTGTGCTGGACTCCCTTGTCTTCAGCTCCCAACACTCACAGACAACCTGCTCTTCCCCTCTGCCTCTCCCAGGGCTACCTGACGACTGTGACATTTATCAGAGCCAAGCTCCTGCTCTGGCTGACATTTGTCCAATAGCAAGGGATCTCTTGAGGGAATGTTAAGGAACCAATGTGGTCAGTGTGAGGGTTCCTCTTCTGCCGGGAGGATGACAAACTGGGAGGGGGAGGGGCTGTAGGAGGCCATCTTTGCCTCAGGATCAAGTCCCACTCACAGCTGGGTGCCCCAAGAATTCAAGTTTAGGACAGAACATCAACCCATCCAACGCCTTGTTAATACAACGAGCCCCACTCAGCACTCTGTCCACCAGTGATGCCTCAAATCCTACACATCCATCTAGATGGTGTTATCCCGCATCCAGGGCCTCCCTGTCGCTCATCTGAGCTCCTCATACTTCTCATTGGGTCCATTTCATCTTCTCCTACCCACACCAGGCACAAAACATGGGTCACAGGACTTCCTACCTGGCCCTTCACAGGCTTGCCCACAGTTCTCCAGGAACTCTAGACATGTCTTCCTGGTGTCTAACCCTGATACTTCTTGCTGCTGCATGGGTTGTTTTCCATTGTTGCTGCACCGCCAGCCCGGCCGCCCGCCCTGTGTGACTTATCTCCATATCCCATCCACCCTCCACTCCCCCATCACTTGGTGACTCATCCCCAAGCTTCCCAAGGAAGCCCCCACCCTCTGCCCTTTCCTCCCCTCTTCCATGAGTGGAAAATCCACCCCCCATAGCCGGCCAGCCCCTTCCTCCTGTCTCTATTACCCCATCCCCCCATCCGCTAGCTTCCTCTCCAGGACCAGGGAGCAATCACAGATGCCCTGACCTTGGCTTCCTTTGCCTGGTGAGATTGGGAGGCTGAGCCCCCAAAACAGACCCCTGGCTTCCCTCTTCTCCTGAGCACGGGGACAGAAAGGCCCAGGCCCGGGACCCAGGGTCTGACTTCCTCTAGTCCCGGAATGAGCATGCCTACCCTTTGCAGGCAGGTTTGGGTCTCTCACGCAGAGGAAACCAAAAGCCGTGAGAGGGAGGGAAGGCAGAGCGGCCAATCAGGGGCAGGGTGAGGCTCAAAACCAGCAGGCTCCCCAGGGAACCCCACCGAGGCCCGAGCTATGGCGGAGCTGCAGCAGCTGCAGGAGTTTGACATCCCCACGGGCCGAGAGGCTCTTCGGGGCAACCACAGCGCCCTGCTGCGGGTGGCCAACTACTGCGAGGACAACTACGAGCAGGTAAGTGGAGGGAGCGCACGCTAAGGCACCCCTGGACGGGACTTGCCGCCCAGTCCCGCTGGCAGGGTCATCTGACAGGTGTCTGTCCTTGCCTTGGCTGAGCAGTCTTCAGGCGTCAGCTTCATCCCTGTTTCCCAAGCGCAGCCACTGCACTTGGTCTCTCTGACATAACCTCGGCGGTAGAAGATTGTGTACACATCACGGTATATACACTCTGCTCTCCCACCTTGTTCCTCTGACTTTTACAAAGACCTACAAGACCCTTTCCTCTCACAGGTGCCGCTACCATCTGCAGGCTGGCTTTAGTGGAGTCGTCAGGAAACTTACTTCACACACACACACACACACACACACACGCGCACACACACACACACACACACACACACACACGAGTTTGTTCCTTGATGTTTGAGGGGGAACAGAGGAGAGTCAGAGCAGGTCAGAATGAGGGAAGAGATCTGGTGCAGAGGCAGGGGACTTACAGTCTGACTGCTGAGAAGTGAGGACGGAGGGAGGCACTACAGAGCAGTCTAAAATTTTTATTTAGCTGGGGTTTTTGAGACAGGGTTTCACTGCATGGCCCAGGCTGTTCTTCAGTTCTCTGTAGCTCAGGCTAGCCCTCTCGGTCGTCCCTCGGCGCTGGGTTTACAGGCTCCCACCACCTCACCTGGCTGTTATTTGTGTCTTGTCATTTTGTTCAGGATGCATTGCGAAGGGCGCCCGGGGCTGTCTGGGAAGTGCTTTTTTGCTGAACTAAGCCCCAGTCCACCCTGGAGTAACCTTGCTGATCTCCTGCTGGTTCCATTGCATTGGTTCCTGGGGAAGGAACAGGGGCAGGGTATGGAGTAACTGCCCACCTGTTTTTTGTCCGCCCTCAGAGCCACCTTGTGAGACAACGGCTAGAATTCTGGGTTTAGAATGTGAAAAGAGCCACTCACTGAGGGAAGTGACTTGTCTAGGGTCACCCGGTTGGAGACTAGCAGAGCCAAGCGTGGCCTCCCTGCCTGCTCACCTGAACTCCTTTCTCTCCATCTTTCTGCCTGTCTGATATAGTGTATGACTTGGGACAGTTTATCTGCACTCTTTGTCCTTGGTTTCCTCTGCTCTAGTAAGAGTGGCAGGCTAGGTCTGTGACCTCTTACCGCTAGCCAAACTGTGAGACAACACGAGGGGCCTCATCCTATAGTAGGCGGGCTGGGAAGAAAAAGAGAGCAAGAGCCTGTGGGAAATGGCAGATGGGGAAGAGGCAATGGTAACTAAGTTTTCTCCATACCTCCCACAGCCTCTTTCTGTCCCTACCCCAGTCCTGTGAGGGGATCACCAGTCCCACTTCACAACGAGGAAGCTGAGGTTTGGAAAGGGTTAAACTGTATTTCCAGAAGCCTCCAAGATAGTCAATGGGACAGGATTCAAACTCAGAATTGTAGTTGGCTGTGGTGTCCTACCTGTGATCTCAGCACTTGGGCAGCTAAGGCAGGGGGATCTCCAAAGCGTAAGTAAGACCTGCCTTATAATCTCTACATAAGTGAGTCCAAGCTGATCAGGATGACAGCAAGACACCACCTCAAGGAGAGCACATCAACAAATCAGAACCCCAAACAAAAAGCAGCCAGAATTCTAACTCAGAGTCCAGTTGCTAACCCTTCTGTGTCATTCTGGTGTGTGTGACGCTGAGTGACCCGCCCGTAGATGAGGTGGCATGTGGTTTCTAAACCAGCTCTGCCCCCCCACAGCACTCAGGCACGCTCCCCTGGCAGGGATGCTGCTTCTGGTGGGTCCAGTCCCAGGTGTACAATTGGTGTGTACGAAGGACCTGAAGCCACAAGGCTGAGTCCTTGGTCTTCCACCTATTGACTTAGGAATCTATGATGAGTTCCCCGTTGGTCTCTCTCTCTCTTTTTTTCCCTTTCTCTCCTTCCTTCCTTCTCTCCTTCCCTTCTTTCTCTCTCTTTCTTCTTTCTTTCCTTCCTTTCTTCTGTCTTTTTTCCTTTCCTTCCATCCTTCCCTCCCTCCTTCCTTCCTTCTCTTCCTCCCTTCTCTCTCTTTCTCTTTCTTTCTTTTTTCTTCCCTCCCTTCCCTCCCTCCCTTCCATCCTTCCCTCCCTTCTTCCTTCCTTCCCTTCTTTCTTCTTGTCCCAGAAGACCGGGATTACAGGCCTGTGCCACCATTTGGGGAAGGGTGGAGTTGCTTCTCCAGGGTGGGTTACAAGTATCACCTGGAACAGGACGAAGTCCTGAAGCATTTGCCGAGGGCCCATCGCCCTGTAAAAGGGGTGGGATGAATGCAGCGATCATTGCTGCTATTACCATTTCAGTAGTGATGGAGCCCACTCTATGGAGGTGACAGCCTTTGCAAACACACTCAGTGTATCAGAAGCCCTGATCTGGGTTGGAATCCCTGGATTCCTTTGTGCAGAGCGTTGGCTCCCAGACCACACAATCAATGACCATCCCTGCCTGTCTACAGAAGAAAGCTTTGGGTGCTGTCTTTAATAAGGTCTCTATCCCATCCTTCCCCCACTAACCAGATGTCAGAAGTCCGTGGGGAATAGCAGCAGGCAGGTGAGTGTAGGGTTCTCAGTCAGGGTTGACTGAGTGTATAATAGGGTCGTTTGCATAACAAACGCTCAGCTTAGATAAAGGATCCCTGATCCTTGCTCCTCCAGACCTGACTGTGGGCCAAGATCAAAGCTAGGTTAGAAACGTCTGGGCTGGAGGTACCCAGAGCTGGACCCAGACAGACACTTCTTGTTTGGGTCGCTAAGTCCTTGTGCTGTGCTGGGGAGGGAACTTTCCAGGAACAGAGGAGCCCTTTCTTCTCACCCTTTAAACAAAGATCTAGAACAAAGCCTGTAATCCTTTCTAGCTTCTTTGCCTGTTCGAGGCTTTGGGTGACATATGCTGATGAAATGTAAATGTTATTGCATATGCAGATGACATGCAAATTGGCACACAAATGAACATCGGTTTCCTGCTGTCAGAACAGAAAAGTGGGGAGGGGAGGACCATGGCATGGGTTTTCCAGAAGGTTCTAGTTCAGGCTACAGGAGAGGACTCCAGAGCTCACCGAGGACACAGCTCTGGTAGTTCCGGTGACAGGGCCTGTGGCATACACAAAGTTCCAAGCCAGGAGGCCATAGGGTGTGCCTCCTCGCCTGTCCCTGTTGGTACACTGCTTCTTCTAATTTTCCTCATCTCTGCCCACCCCTCACCCCTGAGAGGGACAGGCTTTACGGCAGCAAGCTCATGATCAATGGGGAAGGAGGAAGCTGTTTGGGGAACCAAGAGAACCAAGAAGCTTTACCCAGCCCACCCAAGTCTGGTCTGGAACCAAAAAAAGGTCTTGTCTTGAGCCACACTCTGGCTACCTCTTTCCCACCGGCTGGGAGTGTGACACCGGCCAGTGTCTGGCGTATAATAAGAAACCGCTCAGCTACTGTTGGCGTCCCCTTCCACCTGCCAGTCAACAAATGTGTAGCGTATTTATTTACTATCTCCTGTGTGCTGGGGACTGTGTCAGCAGAGACCGCAGGATGGAATGAGCCAGCTCTTTGGTTTTCAGGGTGCTATCTGCCTGGGGGCGTGGTGAAGGGAGAAAAAAAAAAAGAACTGGGCAAGTATGATAAGAAAGATCAGCTGGGTACAAGTTTACGGTGGCGAGAAGAGTGGAGAAGCTGGAATCATCTAGTGAAAAGAACACTGAGAAGTACAAGCACCGCTGGGTGATGGTGGCGCACGCCTTTAATCCCAGCACTCGGGAGGCAGAGGCAGGCGGATCTCTGTGAGTTCGAGGCCAGCCTGGTCTACAAAAGCTAGTTCCAGGACAGGCTCCAAAGCTACAGAGAAACCCTGTCTCAAAAAACAACAACAACAAAAATAAAAGTACAAAACAAGCAAACAAACAAATGCCTCCGAGGTAGGAACGATAATTCTAGCATTTTGGAGACAGAGACAGGAGAATCAGGAGTTTGAGGCCAATCTTGGTTGCACAGAGAGTTTGAGGCCTATACTAACTACATGAAACCCTGTCACAGAAAGAAAGAAAGAAAGAAAGAAAGAAAAGAATCATATTAGAAAGCTGTCGGAGGGAAGGAGAGAATGCAGTCATTTGGTTCTGGAGTCCTTAACTAAGTTCCCACACATCTGCCTGCAGATTGGGACTGAAAAGTTCAGGGTCAGCTAGGGGCTGCGAGACTCCTAGCCTCACTCCAAGGAGACTGGTTTTCAGGTTTAGGGTAAGTGTGTGACGTTTCCTCTCTGCTCCTCACCATCCAGCCTGCAAAGAGGCACTTGCTGAGGTAGGCAGTAGGGTCCCAGCCTCTCAACTCAGGCCTCACCTCAACTCTTGGAGGAGAGGACTCCTCCCCAATCCCTTCAGCCAGTTCTCTCAGGCTCCAGACTCCTTTTCCTGATGTCCCTTACCGCAACATCATCCTTCCAGAAGCTACCTCAAGCGTCTGAGAACCGCAGCCATTCTCCAAGCTGAGCTCTCACCTTAGACTCTCTTCTGGTCCCACCAGACCTTGCCTCGGAAGCAGTGGAATGTGCTGGCCTCAGGCCAAGGCTGTGTGTATTTCAGGCCACAGACAAGCGGAAGGCACTAGAAGAGACCATGGCTTTCACCACCCAGGCCCTGGCCAGTGTGGCCTACCAAGTGGGTAATCTGGCTGGGCACACTCTGCGAATGCTGGACCTTCAGGGTGCTTCCCTGCGGCAGGTAGAGGCCAAGATCAGCACACTGAGCCAGGTAAGGGTCTGGGAAGGGACCCCCCTTTCAGCCCCAGCTCTTCAGTCCCACTCAGATATTCTCTACAACAAAAGTCTCTTGCTTTTCTCCAGAGACACATACCGCCAACTTGACTATAGAATGTTGGCAGTGTCTGAACTCTGGAGACCTCCGTCACGGCTGTGCCTTAGTGGGGTCCTTGCTACCCCATTAGGTGCAAAGTTCTCTGAAAGCAGACTCCCCCCCCCCCGTATTGCCCTTGATATCTAAAAGCTTTATCTGCTGCTCACAGTACCTGACCTGCAGGAAGCAGGAGAGACTAAAGGCCATCATCCTGTTTTCATTGAAACATAGGCAGTGATTAATAAGTGCCCTACACTCGGGCTAGGCAAGCCCCTCTTCAGTCCCAGGGAGTCCCTGCCCTTGGCTCATCAATACTCTCAGCCTTCCTTCCTGGATTCTTGACCCCACAAGGCACATGCATTAGCCAAGTTATGCTTTTGGTCTGACCACAGGTCCCCAAGGGGCAAGTGTATGGGGTGTGTCTTCCTCTTCCTCCTGAAGACCCAAGGTCCCATCCCTCAAGGCCTGAGGGAACATTCCAAGAGGAAGCTAATTTGCACATTTGTCCCCTAAAGGGGAGAGCTGATTAAGTTACAGGTCTCTGCCACCTCCACGCTCTGCCCTCCTGTTCCAAAGGCTGCCCTGTCCTTCAATCCCTTCCCAGCATCCCCAGGGATGTTGTTTTTCCCTTTTCTTCTGTTTCCTGCACAGCTAATAATAGCCCTCATTCTCTTCTACCAGGAAGTTGCTCCCAAGTGGCTCCATCCTCTGCTAGTCTTTTCCCAATTGCTGTATGGCCACAGGGAAAAACTGGCTTTCTCTAGATTTCCCTACTTCCCCTGGTCCCCATTCTTTCCTCCTCCCTTCTTTATTTTGAGACAGGGTCTCAACTATGTAGTCCCAGCTGGCCTAGAACTCATCATATAGACTGAGCTGATCTTGAACTCACAGAGCACTATCTGCCTCTGCCTCCTGAGTGCAAGGTGTCTCCCTCTCTTAAAGGGAGTGGTGCTGGACAGGCTGCCCCTCACTGTCGCCTCCCAACCCTGTCATGCAGATGGTGAACATGCATATGGAAAAGGTGGCCAGAAGGGAGATTGGCACCTTAGCCACTGTCATGCGGCTGCCCCCTAGCCAGAAGGTCATCCCTCCTGAGAGCCTACCGCCCCTCACCCCCTACTACAGAAAACCCCTCAACTTCAGCTGCTTGGATGACATTGGCCATGGCGTCAAGGTAAGGGGAACTTTGCTCTTCCCCACTGCCCACCCTCTCCTGCCATGGGACTCCCTCCTGGCTTCTTTCTGAGCTCTTGGCTCCTGTGTTATCTCACAACCCCTTCCTTTCTCCAACTTCCATTTGGCCAGGAGTCACGGCCTAAGCTCCTCACCCTCCCAAAGTCCCTAGCTGCCCTCCGCCCTGTACTCACTCAGCTTGCGAAGATCACGAGCTGTCCCTGCCCCCCACCCAAGGGTACTGGGTGTGTGTGAGAAGGGGAAGAGGGGGAAGGGAGGGTGTCAGGACATGCATGAGAACCACTTCTCAGCCACATGAGAACAGCAACTTCCTCTGTCTGGGGGTTTGAGGTCACGACTCTAAGAAGTCACCCCAGAATGCTGGCGGTAGGGGCAGGAGGCAGCAACAGAAAGCCGGCTTGGCGGAGGGGACATATCTCATTGTCACTACTGGCACCTATCAGATTAGATTAGAAACTTTCCTGGGTCTTAACCTCTTGATATGATGGCAGCCCCCGGAAGCGAGAATAAAGAATACGTTCCTTCAGTTCCCAGGTCCCGTGAATTCTTTCTGCTGTCCAATATCCTTCTTTTTCTTTTTTTTCTTTCGATGGTACTGTGGATGGAACCCAGGTCTGCTATAAGCCCAGCATAAGCTCCACCCCTGAACTGTACGCCCAGCCTCCACCCTATCCTTTATGCCTCAAGTTCCCTTTATCTTGTCTCTCGTGGGGCAGGGTGAGAGAACATGGGCCCCAGATGCTCATCCTGGGGGAAGTCCCGAAGTTAGAGGTTTCTCTTGCGTTGGGAGTTGCCCCCTATTGTCGACTCTCCTAAGTGTCTTGGGTTCTGCCCTCCCTCTGCCTTGAATTTGGGAAAGTCAGTTCCTTATGTTTATGGAAGCATTGAGTGGAAGGAACGGTTCTGTGTGATGTGTCTCCCCGCACCAGGCGTCTCCTCTGCTTTTGCTGGAGCAGACGTCCTATCAGTTAAGGACCACCAAGCGACACAGATCCTTGCGGGTCTGAGACAGTGTGGGGGGTGCAAGGGTCCATTTAGTCACTGTGGCGATGCAGAGGAAGTGGCACTCAGATAAGCGTTTGTGCTACGGGTTTCTTTCGGTGGGTGGCTTTGTGGGACCTGCTGCAGACTTAAAGATCCTATGGCTCAGGCAATGACACCAGTGTCTGGGGTGGGGGTGGGGGTGTTGGGCGGGAGGAGGGCTGGGAAGTGGAAGTAGGAACTTGCTGAGTCTGGCTAGCCCTCCCAGTTTTCATTCGCCTCCCCCAATTCTTCTTAGGGATGAGGGTGAGGATTGTTCCCCTTGCCTCAGATGTCAACCCTACCCCCTCTAGGACTTGAGCACGCAGCTGTCTCGGACCGGGACCCTGTCTCGCAAGAGCATCAAGGCGCCTGCTGCACCTGCCTCCACCACGCTGGGGTGAGACCTCAAGGCCACTCCTACCAGGCCTGCTCAGCCCCTTGTGGTTCTCAGCTGCTCCCCTACCCCTTGCCCGCAGCACCTGGCGCCCAGCTTCCCTTTTCATGACCCTTTCTCAACCCCACTTCTGCTCAGCAGAGTTTCCCTCTCCTCATGCCACCCTACTTCACCCCAGGAGACCACCCCGGATCCCCGAGCCCGTGCAGCTCCCAGTCGTGCCTGACGGCAAGCTCTCAGCTGCCTCCTCTGTCTCTTCCTTGACCTCGGCGGGGTAAGCCCTTGAGTCTAACGGGTGGGTAGACCGTAGGTGGATTTTTAGAAGGGGCCTCCTGCCACACCTCTGGGGTTGAGAAAACTAAGGACCACTAGATAAGGAAAATAATTTGAGGCCGTATTTTGGGCTGAAGGGCTCCCTTAGGGACTATGAGTGAAAAAGCATCTGTGCCGTGCTCTGGTCTTTAGCAGCGCCGAAGGTGCCAGTGGGATCCCCCAGTCCAAGGGACAGGCAGCATCTGCAACCCCGCCTCCACCTCCAGCACCTGCAACCCCGCCTCCCCCAGTCTCTGCTGAGGTCTTCTTGCCGCCTCCCCCGCTGGAGGTGTCCCAGGCCCCTGCAGGTAAGAAGTGCCCACTTCCTCCACCCCCACCTTGAGATCCTTTTGAACGCCAGCCCTGTGCTCCTCAGGAACCTCAGGGGTACCAGTGGTCCAAGCTTATTTTACACTAGCCCTGTGTTTGAAGCGTCTCATTCAAAGTTAACTTTGACAGGACCTTTACCGGTTTAACCAACCTGCCTAAGGGTTGCCCAGCAGGGTCTGCCTAGCCTGTGCCGAGTACTTCTAAGCCTCACCAATGGGCTGGAGGCATTGTGGGTGATGACACTCAGATCCTAAGGATCCACCTGTCACACACACACACACACACACACACACACACACACACACACATCTTTTCTTCTTCCCAGCAGCAGAGTTGCCCCTGCCCCCACCTCCAGCTCTAGAAGGGGATGACCTGGGACTACTGCCTCCTCCACCACCGGATTTTGGACCAGAAGAACCCAGCTGGGTCCCTGCTGCCTACTTGGAGAAAGGTACTGTCCTCTTGGGACTGAGAAGCACCAGAAACTATTGCCAGGTTTCTGGCCTCTGTGGCTCTGACCTCCACTCTTCATCCCAGAGGCATTCGCTCTCCCTGCCAAGGTGTGACCCTATTTTTGTCCCTTATCCCCTTCATTTCTGATGAACCGGGGTCTGAAGCCTTCTAGGAAAAGAGCAGCTGGCCTGAGTTGGGGGAGGGGGACTGTGAATGCTCAGAAGCTCCCCCTGTGATGGGGGGAACAGAGGGCGCACCTCACAAGATTTCCTTTCCTGCCCCTGCAGTGGTGTCGCTATACCCATACACCCGACAGAAGGACAATGAGCTCTCCTTCTCTGAAGGCACCATCATCTGTGTCACGCGCCGTTACTCGGATGGCTGGTGTGAGGGGGTCAGCTCAGAGGGCTCTGGATTCTTCCCGGGGAACTATGTGGAGCCCAGCTCCTGACAGCCAAATCTGTCCCTGCACCGACCCAGCACTGCCTCAGTGGGCCTCCTGAGCCCCAAGAAGCCAGCGCCACAGTCAAGGCTGACAAAGGACCTGTCTACCTCTTGGGCTGTGAACTGAGTTCAGTCCCTGCTCCACAAAGCAGTGTGTGTGTGTGTGTGTGTGTGTGTATGTGTGTGTGTGTGTGTGTGTGGAGAGGGGGCTAGAGAGAGGTGGTACCCAGGAGATTGCAGCAGATGGGGGAGGGAGCCTACCAAAAACCCAAGAAACTAAAAGCCACGGATTTCAGGCTTCTTGCCCAGAGGACCCCCCCCCCCAGCTCATGAAGAGCAAATTGCCAGCTCTGAATAAAACTGCTGACCTCCTGATACTTGCCCCGCGGGGCTAGAGGGCCAGGGGGCCGTGATGGAAAGGGAGCAAGCTCCAGAACACAGTAGAGCCCTACGGAAGGACCCAGTAGAACCGCTCTCCTCCATCTCAGCCCCTTTTGCTGTTCCCACTAGACCCCGACATCTCAGGCAGCCATTCGCATCTTCTTTCCCCTCTTGCCTGCCTTCAGTCTGGGCTCCTCAACCTCCCCCATTTAAATGCGGCTGAGAGCAAAGGGCACCACTCTCGCCTCTCGCACGCAAGAGATGAGTCACTTGGACCCCCTTCTCCTCCTTTATAGGTCTGAAACACCAGAAGGGGAGGGGCTTGGGTTTCCCTGACTCTGCTTAAAAACATGGCTTTCTGTTCCATAAGGGCGGAGGGGGTTGCGGAGGACGGCTTTGGTGAAGTCCCTAGTCTCTTGCTGCCGTAGTTGAGGACGGAGTGAGAGGATCTGTCACACTCTCCGAGGTCATTGGTTGGTTCTACCTCGTTCCACCAGCAGGAGGCGGCTGCTTCCTCTGGCTTTTTCTTCCTTTGGGGGTAACCGGCATGGGGGTGGGGGGGGGAGAAGGAAGCCAGGCGCAGCCAGCGCAGCGGTAGTGTAGGACTGCGGTGGCTGAAGCGAGATCAAGGATGCCTAGGAGCTGTCTTCCTAGAGCATCACGGGTCTGCGTGAGGAACCCGGTGCTGGCATGCAAATTGGGGGATCCTGAGTCCTGAGAGAAGACCGAGCAGGGGAGGTTACGCAGCCGAAGCAGCAGCTAAAGTAGTGGGAGATGCTCTTTCTCTCAACTGCCAGGAGCCCCTTCCTCTCAGTTCGAGGGACACTGCCTGCCTTCCAAGGGGTGCACACCACTCCCTGGAGGGGAGGCAGCTGAGCTATGATAACTGCATAGATAGGGACGGCTCTTAACCTCCGCTCCCAGCCCACAAGAGAACAAAATTCCAAAACTGCCCAGAGGAGCATAGCGAAGAGGGGGGAAGAAGTAAAACCAGGTGGTCTTAACCAATTCCCAGTCCTGTCCCCGCTCTGCCGATTCTCCCTGGGGACCTCTTGCAGGCGATGGTCTTCAACACATCTTCAGCACCTGTTGTAGATGTTGGCGCACGTCGGTCGCTGTTTCCCAGGGCACCACGTGAGCTCGGAAGGAGCTGGACTCGGCCTTCTGTGCCTCTTGGATGAGGCGGTGCATGGGGTAGCCGCGGCGCGGGAAGGCCACGTCCCCGCCCGCCAGCAGCCCCATGGGGCAGAAATCATTTGCACCGTCACCCACGTAGAAGAGGCGCTCGAAGTGCACGCCTTCGCGGGCCCGCTCACGCAGGTATTCACTGAGCACCTTATGCTTGCACATGTTGGCGGGGCAGCGGGAGCAACTGTGCGTGTGGAAGGGCCGCAGCGTCAGCAGTCCCCGCGCATCCGGCCCGGACGGGTTGCTGAGGATGCGGCGGAATAAGCTGTGGTGGCCAGCGGCACGCAGGGCACTCTCCACGCCGAAGGTGTTGGCATCCGAAATGAGAATAACCTCGAAGCAGGAGCCCTGTTTGGCTACGAACTGCAGCAAATCACCCATGCCCGGCGACAGGGGGATGGTCTCGTAGACAGCACGCAGGTCCCGGGGCCGCACACCCTGCTCACCCAAGTACTTGAAGACACGTTGCATGTACTCATTGTAGTAGCCTTCGCGGTAGGTGGCACGCAGGCTCTCAGGTAGCTGCTGACCTGGCGCAGCGCGCACGATCGAGTCGTCGCTGTTTTCGTCCACGATGGTCTCATCGAAGTCGAAGGTCAGGAGGAAGCGAGGCGCGCCGGGCGCAGCCATCCTACCGTCCTGGGAGCAGGGGGAAGAGGAGCAGGAGGAGGGGGCAAACGAGAGGCGGCGCGGCGGGAGCCGGCCGGGAAGAGCCTGGTTAGCGGGCCACAGCCAGGGTCGCTGGCACATCCAAGACCTGAGGAGGACCCAAGGCTGGTTAAGTTGGAGACGGAACCAATGTGTGGCGCATACCCCGCCGTCCCTTGCCTGTCTCTCACTTAATCGTGCGGGGCCTGACGCAAGGGGGGGGGGCATACTAGTCATGAAGTCAAAGACTTGCTTGGTTTCCATTTCTGCTGCTCTTATGGGGTCCCTGGGGCTTAGCAAGGTCAGCTTAGGAGGAGGGAAGAGTCATTCCTGAACTAGGTTGGAGATTTCTGGTGGCCTGTGTGTTGGGTGCAAGCAATCTGCTGTTCTAACTCAGCAGAGTAGAAACAGAGAGAATCATTCGAGTGCCTGGGGGAGCAGCCTCCCTTCCCTTTGTGGCATCGAGGTCTAATGGAGCAGCCAGGCTCCAGGAAAAGCCATTGGCATCACGAAGGCAGGTGGGCAATGAGTGTCAGGCCTTCCCCGGGCCCTGGATGTCAGCTATAAGTGCTTGGGAGGCCAGGTTCTGGACCTTCCTAGGTCCTGGCCAGAGAACTAGATTTTAACCCTTGAAGTTACCAGGTAAGTATGCAGACCACACAAGACCCAGGGAGGCTCTTTGGGAGTTTCCAGCCAGATGGCACTGGGCAGGGGGCTAGGGATGAGACGTAGCTCCTCCAAGGAGTTTAGAGCTCATCACTAATCACTTGCCAATTCCCTGGGAAGAACGTGTCAGCGGGTGGGGTTTCTGCCAGAGTCCGAAGCAAGCAGGCAGCAGGAGAAGCAATGGGGCTTAGGGAGGTGGGAGCCCCCCTCGCCAGGCCACGGCATACCTGGGAGACAGGTAGGGGAAAGGAAAGAGAGCAGCAGTGGCTAAAAAGGCAGAGGGAGGAAGGGACTGGCAGCTAGCTGGAGGGGATTGTTTGGGAGGAAGTCAGGCAGGGGAGGGTAGACTACTGGAGTAAGAGCTCTAGGAAGTGAGACTTTGGGCAAAGGGGGAACAGCATGAGAGAGGATGGGGGTACAACGGGAGTATTGGGGCACAAAGAAAGGCAAGCACACCACACGGACACAGCAGGAGCCCCCATCTACACGTCCCTGACCCCTTTGTTTGCCAGTAGAGTGACCGGTATCCACCATCCTGCCTGCCTCTCTGCCTGGGCTTCCTGTCCCAACTCGCCCGCATGGAACCTGGTTTGCTGTCACACACTGGCACCCACTTCTTTCTTTTTAAAGAGAGGGTCTCATGTAGCTCAGGCTGACCTCAAACTTGCTGTGTAGCTGAGGATGAACTTGAACTCATGATCCTCCCAGTGCGGAGAGAACAGCTACACCCCAAGCCCTCCCCCACTATTCCTTCCCATGGCTTTGTAAGACAACCACGGTTTAAGTCATTTCAGAACTGGGACTGGAACACGCTCCCTGACTCCCTAAGGGAACTGTCCCTTCCACTTTATCCCCCCGCCCCCCAGTAGTTGCCTGGAGTTTACCATCAACCTATGGGGGTGTCAGTGGCACCAGGACCCACACCAGGGAAATGTCCAGGGATTCACCAGTGGAGAGAGAGCAGATCTAAAAGGGACTGGAAGGGGCTCCTCCTATCTCAGGGTGGAAAAGTTGGGGCTGGAGGCCTCATCCTGAAGGACCCCACTTACCCTAGACAGGCATCGCAGGCCAACAGCTGGAAAACACCCACTCATTGTCCGTAAATTACCCTGGGCTCCACGTCTAGAACCTTGGTTGATCTTAAGCTGTCATCCAGAACTCCTGGGAAAACAAAAAGAAAACCGAGTAAACCCCACCAAAGTCCGCAGCTGCCCTTTTGGAGCGGGTTGTCTATCTTCCGCCTCGGCATTTGGGAGGGGAGGCGGAAGCAGGCGCATCTCTTGAGTGTGAGGCCAGCCTGATCTACATCGTGGTTCCAGGACAGCCAGGGATATGTAGAGAGACCCTGACTCTGTTCCATCAAGCACACGAGCCATTCCCACGTTCTCAGCAAGAGCAAGATCTTAAAAGCACACTCAAGCCATGCTCCTTGCTTTTAACACCCCTGGCCAGTTCCCAGACTTAATCAGAGAGGTGGCAAAGAGCATTCCTGCAATCCAGACAGGCTAAGGGACTTGCTCAAAAAGTGGCTAAGACTTTTCAAAACCAGACTCAGAGGCTGGTCTAGGCCTTCTTTCTCCAGTCTGACCTTTGCCCACACACGAGCAGGGCATGCCATAGTTTACCAATCACCTTTGTTTCCAATCAGACTCACGGTTCATGGGACCCACGAAGGCAGAGAACAGGGATTAACTCACTTCCTAGAGGCTGTATTGTTTAAGCAATGTGGCCCTTGGCTCACAAATGCTTTCACCACTTTCTAGAGGTTGAGGGCCTGGGCTCTACATGAGATATGAGACTTACTTCTGGCACTACCTTGCTCAGGGGTCTCAGCAACCGGACAGGCTGAACTCTCTAGAAGAGTTTAGGTGGCCGGGTCTGATCTTTTGATTGGAGCCTTCATCAGTGCAGCTACACAAGAAACCATCTACGGCTTCCGGTGCCTCCCTACTCCCCTACCTCTCCACCCCCAGACTGAGATACTAGAGAGGCCAGCCCCTTAAACTTAGATATAGCTTGGAATTGGAAAGAATACCAGAGAAAAGATAGCAAAGATCTGGCTGGTTGCTGCCCTCTAGTGGCTATAACGGGTAGCACGGTTAACCCCGACTGTCAAGGTGAAGCTCCCTGACCATTCAAGAGCAGCAGAGAGGCAACTGCCTCCAGAATAAACTAGGGAAGGACCGGGGAGACACAGACTCTGGGACCATCTTTATAGAGATGAGTCACAGGCTACTCTCGCTTTCTCACAGCAAAGATTTTCAGCAGAGATGGGAAGTAACTTTCAGTGCCAGCCGCCCCCCACCCATAGCTGGTAATTGGAAGGGGGCTAAAGATCTCTAGCAAAAGTGGCAGTGTCTGTCGTGGGGGGGGGGAATTCAAATTCAAATCCTGCTGAGATAGTGGAAGAAGGGGATGGGATAAGGGAATGGCATGCAAAGGATGTTAGGGGAACTGTCATGGTGCCTGTCACGGAACCCTGGCTGATATAACCTTTGTCCCAGGACAAGAAGTAGAAAGGTCAGGGGTGCCCCACCCATTGTAAAAAGCAGTCTCAAAGAGAGGGACAGCATCAGGCATGGAGAGGAGCAAGGGGAAGATACAAAGATACAAACAGCAGCCACACAGACCAGCTTTCTTCTCTCTCATTCCATTTCTCCTTTCCCTCCCTCCTTTCCATAACCAGGATTGGGCGTTGACCTTTACAGCATGCCCTTAATCCAGTGTTTTGTTTTTGTTTTTTAATTTTGAGACAGGGTCGTCCAATATGGACTTGAACTCAGGCTCCTGAGTACAGGAACTGTAGGCATGTAATAAACACCCTGCCCTGCTAAGATAAATTTTCATCTCTTGGGGGAGGAGGGATGGTCAATTACTTGCTTGTCTTCTTTTTAAAAAACTATAGCAATCTTATGCTCCAAACCTCTCATGTCTCATAGTAATAGACACAGTTATGTTTTTACCTAACACTAGCGAGCATTTATGGAAATCTTCAATTTTGTTTTTGAGACAGGGTTTCACTACCTAACCCTTGGCAGGTCTGCAACTCTCTATGTAGACCAGACTGGCCTCAAACTCAGATCCGCCTGCCTCTACTTCCCAAGAGCTGGGATTAGAATCCAGCACTGCCTCTCCTGGTAATCTTGTTTATTTTTCTATCTGCAGCGCAGACAGCCAGGCATCCTGGGTTTCTCCCCCAAAAACTAAGGCAGCCTCACAGTGTCACCCCATCCCTGGCCTATGGCAAGGGAAGTACATATATCTAGTTATTATTTGGCTTCATGATGTTTGACAAGGCCACGGGCAGTTGCCTGGTGATGCAGGAGAATCTGAGTTAAAGACAAAACAACCACACACAAAAGTCACTCACGATGATAAAATCTGGGCAATGGTAACCCCAGCACTCAGGAGGCGGAAGCAGCAGCGGATCTCTGTGAGTTCAACGCTAGCCTGGTCTACAGAGCGAGTTGTAGGACAGACTCCAAAGCTACAGAGAAACTCTGTCTTAAAAAAAAAAAAATCCTGTTAGGTGCCGGACAGTGGTGCTGTTCACCTTTAATCCCAGCACTCGGGAGGCAGAGGCAGGCGGATCTCTGTGAGTTCGAGACCAGCCTGGTCTACAGAGCTAGTTCCAGGACAGGCTCCAAAACCACAGAGAAACCCTGTCTCGAAAAAACGAAAAAAACAAAAAAAAAACAAAACCTAAAAACAAACAAACAAACAAACAAACAAAAAGTGCAAAACCAGTGTGGCCAGCAGGGTCCCTTGTGGAGAAAGGGGACAGAATCCAAGTTTCTTCAGCATGCTAGGGCAGGGAGAGGAGGCAGATTTTCTGGGGCAGAAGGTAGTTCTTTTCTAGTCCCATCTAAGATCAACGTTTGTGGCCCTGATTCCACAGATCACAGGCTCCCAGCCTGCACCCTCCCTCCGCTGACACAAATACTCTTAAGTTAAATCTGTGGGAAGGTGGGACAGGTGTGTGTTGGCTTAATCTCTAAGCTTAAACTTCTCCTAACTGGGGAGAGGATAGAGCCCATAGGAAAGTTTGGGGAGTTTTCCACAAGAAACATGAAGGCTGAGAATGGGGGTGAGGACTTCAGAAATATCACGTTAACAACCCCCCTCTGCTTGAAGAATAAATATGTCTATCACTAGGAATCAGATCCGACAATTAAGCTGGGATTTCTGCCCCCAACACTCTCAACTTCACAAACCTCTTTCTTGTCCATTAACCCTTTATAGGGGGATAAAGAGGCCCAGAGAAGTTCGGCTAACATCATGGACCATCACACAGCATCAAAAACAGGACTAGAACTCAGGGGTCTCTACTGCCTCGTGGAGAAACTATCTGAACCTCCCCGTTTGCTCCAGAGACTCTGTAATGGTCCCTGTTCTAACTAGCTAGGGAGTAATGATCTATGCCCTGGTGCCAGTGAGGAATCTGGGACTAGGTATCGCCTCTGGGGTCCCCTGCCTGGGTAGACAAGTAGAGTTTGATCTTCACTGGGTAGGGGCAGGGAGATGGCAGCTGCCGGTGGGGTAGCAGGAGAGATATTTTTAGAGGTGACTGGAAAGCAGGCACTCTGGCACACCCCCAGCTGGCGGGCACTTCGCTCTAATGCGGGCGGGGGGGGGGTGCGCAGCTCGGGGAGAAGGAGGACTTGTGGGTGGCGGGGAGCGATGATAGTCCCCGGAGATGAAGGGACACTGGGCACCATGAACCTGGGAGAGAACGGGGCTCAGTTCTCTGCCCCAGGGATTGCCCCACCACCAAGCGCATGAAACACCCTCAAACTCTACACGGCCCCCACCCCAACATTGAGATCGCGGTCCTCCCGAAGCCCAGGACTCAAGCGGGACAGCGGCGGCTGCGCTGTCCGTCCCGGTTGAGTTCGGAGTGAAAGTAGTGGGAAGGGGGCTAGTTAAGGGATTTGAGGGCAAGATGGAGCAAGGGGTGCTTACGGGAATTGGGGGGACGCGGTCTTATCCACCCCCGGATTTCTGAGCTCCGGCTCACGCGTCCCTCCTGTCCCGAGGGACCATGGATGATCTGCTTCTGTTCCGTCCCTTCCACCTGCCCCCCATCCCCGGGGCCGCCGCCGCGTCCCCTTTAAATGCCGGGGAGCCGGAGCTCGAGCCGCGCCGGGCGCTGCGGCAGCCGCAGCACCCGGGCCCACCGCAGTCCCCGCACGTCACAAGCGCCGAGCCAATCACCGCGGTGCCGGCGCACATCAAAAGGGCGGGCTCCCCGCAGGTCACGCCTCCCGGCTGTCCCCCGTGGCCGCGCGAGCGGCGGTGTGACTGGGCGGGCTGGTCGGGTGGAGCGTGGCGCGTCCCGTCCGAGGAGCGTGGGTGCGGGGCACCCTCTGCGTGCGCGTGGCACGTGCGTGAGTCGCTGTCACACTGCCCGCCTCCTGCCGGGCTCGGCGTGGGGAATCTGCACGCAGTCCCTCCCTCCACCGGCCGCCGATCCGCCCGGTCGCAGAGCTCCGCGGGACAAGCTTGGTGGCCAGAACCGCAGAGCAGCACGCCGTCCACGTGCACCGAGCTTGGTGTCCTCTGACCTTCCGGGAGGAGCCACAGCATCCCGCCGAGTCCTCGGTACCCTGTCCCCAGATTACCGGGTACTCGTGCTTGCCGGCGGAGGGGTTCTACCACCCAGCCCCGCGCGTAAACACGGAGTTGGAGAGCCAACACTGCATAGCGGTGCAGATAAAAAACCCGCTCACTCCTAAATCCTGAAAGTGTTTTCCCGTCCCCATTCCGCTGTCGCCCTCTGGGGAGCTTTCCCATCTTTCCCTACCCTCAGGTGACAACGATCCAGAGAGAAGAGGTGAAACCTGGATTTCTAGAGTCCGTGCTATGTGAACCCCAGCAATTGACCCACGAGAAACGATTAGTCCAAGAATTCAAACACAAGAACACCTACCTCACTTGAGCCATAAAACAGGCTCTGTGGGTGAGAAGCAGGTGCTCCCAGACCTGGGTCTAGCCAGCCCTTCCTAATTCCCCCTGCTCCTGCAACAAAGCCAGTCAACAAATTTCGGTGAACTCTGTGCAGGACAGGCTGGATACCTGAATACCAGCGCTCCGTGCGTCCACTGGTATAACAGCAGCTCGGCAGAAAAGTTGCCGACCTGATTTACCACCCCCTACCTTCAAACCCCGATGATGACTTCTCCAGCACCCCCTCACCTTCTCTATCCCTGATGCTTGCTGAGGTCAGAGGACAACGAACAGGTACCACTGTATTCCTTCCACCTTACCTTGCCAGTCCTTGTTTGGCTTTTTTTGTTTGTTTTGTTTTTTGTTTGGTTGGCTGGATTTGAGACAGGGTTTCTCTGTAGTTTTGGCTATCCTGGAACTAATCTGTAGACCAGGCTGGTCTTGAACTCACAGAGATCCACCTGCCTCTGCCTTCCAAGTTTTTTTTTTCCCGAGACAGTGTTTCTCTGTGGTTTTGGAGCCTGTCCTGGAACTAGCTCTTGTAGACCAGGCTGGTCTCGAACTCACAGAGATCCTCCTGCCTCTGCCTCCCGAGTGCTGTGATTAAAAACGTGCGCCACCACTGCCCGGCCTTCCAAGGGTTTAAAGGCATGTGCCACCCACCCGGTTTTTGGCTTTTTTTATTTTTAGTCAGGATCTCTTATAACTTGTGCTGACCTCACCTACTTATTATACTAGGCCTGGCCCCGAACTCCCAATCCTCTTGCCTTCACTTCTTTGCTGGATTAAAGGCCCGAGTCACCACACCTTGCAATCCTTCCTCTTGCAGAAGCAGTTTCAGCCCCACAGTCTGCCTAAGACCCGCTCACACAGGGTTCAGCATGTGTTCTCTGCACGGCAGTGCCCCTACCCTTTGACACTTTCTTGGAGCCCAGGCTGGTCTGGAACTTTGCTATCGAGTCCAGAGTGACTTTCAACTCCTGATCTCCTGCCTCCACTTCCTGAGTGTTGGGATTTAAAGGCATGGGGTACTATACCAGTCCCACGGGTACTCACAGATCAGTAGGTAGGTGCTGGAAAGATCTGAACGTATTGAGCCACGATCCAATCCAAAATGGTTGCCAGTCAGGCCTATGAGGAAATCAAGGCATGATGGAGTAACTGAGCTTGCTCGGGGCCATGCTGTTGAGAGATGATAGTGCTAGGGTCCCAAACTGCCTTAGCCATGACCTCATACTGTGCCTCTCTCCTGGTGTCAGTCACCCTCTCTTTTAAGTTCTCGCTCTGTATCCGTTTCACTGTGGGACTTTGGTCACCTGACTTGGCAACGATCTCGTGGGGTGAGAGTCATCTGAGGTGACAGAGCTTGCTCAAGTCTCTGGTGACCCTTGACTCGGGTGGCTAGAGTCTCCAAACAGGTCCTCACGCAGAGGTTGAGTCACCGGCGCAAGGTTCCAGTGGTAGAGCCAAGAAGCCAGGACTCCAAGGTCACAACCTGTTCTTCAGGTGACCTCGCAGGAGGGGCAAAGGTAACAGGAAGGAAGGCCCACCTGGGAGAAGAGGACCACTAATCTTTCCAGGAACCGGCTGGGTGTTGGTGTTAGTGTTTCCAGTTTTACAGAGGCAGAAACCTGGGGACATTAAGAAAGTGCCTCGCCTGAGGGCACTATGTGCTCATGTAATTCTGCAATGCAATGACCCAAAGAGGAAAAAGATGGATGGGACCCTCAGGGACCTGGGGGCAGGTGATAGTGGGCTTAGGTGGGAGGTGTGACCAAGTGTGTCCCATTCAGGCATTTCAACAGTAAAGCAGTTGTGACCAGGACCGAAAGCCTCCCTTCCTAACCCCCATAGTCAAGCCTGGACAAAGTGGTTCATTCTGAAATTCTCAGCTCTTCCTTCCCACAGCAGTCCCTCTGTGCCACTAGCTGCTTCCAATTCACACATGGCAAAATATGTCACTTGCCCCAAGTCACAGAGCTAAGAAGTGGCCAAAGACAAGAATTGAAACCTGCTGGTTTTTTACATTTATGTTTTCATTCAGGTGATTCTCACTATGTAGTCGAGGTGGCCTGGAATTCCCAGTCCTTACCAAGTCCAGCTGGGAGCCAAGCCACCCCTCCCCCTCCCCCCCCCCCCCCCCCCCCCCGGCACACTTTGGACAGGATTTCATGAAGCTTAGGCTAGTCTTAAACATGCTATTAGCTGAGTATGACCTCCCTCTCCCTGCCTCCCCAACCTGAGTGCTAGGGCGGCTCTGTGGTCTGCCACACTGGGCTATGTAGTGGTGGGGGCCAGGGCTTTGTGTATGTTAAATAACCAACCCCTCTTCCAGCCGAGCCTCATGCCTAGCCCTGCTCTCATTTTTTGATTTGTTTTTATTTTATGCGCATTGGTGTTTTGTCTACATGTATCCTCCCGTGCTGGAGTCATAGACAGTTGTGAGCTGCGTGTGGGTGCTGGGAATTGAACTCTGGTCCTCTGGAGGAGCACCCAGTGCTCTTAACTGCTGAGCCATCTCTCCAGTCCCATCACCAGCTGCATTTTTAGAAGGAAGTGCCCTCTTCTGGCACAAGAAAAAACATACCAGCCCTAGAGACAGGGAGGCTCATTGTGTTTTTTCTTTTTGTTGTTTTTCTGAGGCAGGGTCTTACTATGTAGCCCTGGCTGGGCTGGAACCCAGCCCTACATTCTTTTTGTCTTTCTCTCCCTCTCTGTCTTTCTTACCCTCTCTCTGTATGTGTAGAGACCAGGGTCTCTTGTAGGCTAAGCCAGACTTCAACTCACTTTTCAGTTGAGACTGACTTAGGTCTCATGCTGGAACAACAGCACTAAGTCTGCCAGGAGGAGGCTCATGTTCTTGAATAAAATACTTCCTTTTCTAAGCACACTGGACCTAGTTTTGTTGTTTGCTTTTTTTTTTTTAACTCTCTATAGAGCAGGCTGGTCTCAAACTCTCTGTGTATCGGACTGTCCTGTAACTCTCTGTAAATCAGGCTGGCTTTGAACTCACAGAGATCCACCTACCTCTGCCTCCCAAGTGCTGAGATTAAAGGCTTGTGCCACCATGCCCAATTAGTTTTGTTTTTGTTTTGAGACAAAAATGTCTCTACAGAGGCCTGGCTGTCCTGGAATGCACTATGTAGACCAGGCTGGCCTGGAATTCCTAGAGATAACCCTGTTTCCACCTCTGGAGTGCTGGGATTAAAGGCATGTGCCACCATGCCTGGCTCCTATTCGTTATTAGGTTGAACACTGTGAGGTTGGACATCCTTAAATTCTGGCTTCTAGAACAGCCTGGCAGAATAAGGACGTCTGCTTTCGAATTTGTGGATCTCTTTGGCCCTTCTTTTTACAACCTGGAAGGATTATCGAGATCTTACAGGTTTTGAGGATTCGCTGTTATTTAATGGAGACCTCCTCTAGCTGCCTGGAGACTACATAGTTCCCTGGAACCCTCAGATTCCAGTCAGGTCCAGAGGACATATGGGTAGGAGCAGAGCAGGGGTGGGTGGGGCGCTCTCCTGGGCACAGGCACCGGCCTGCCTAGTCACCTAGGTCCACAGCCCCAAGAGGGCATGGCAAAGAGCATTTCTGCAATATTCTGGCCTGAGTCCCTGGGCTCACCCAAACACGCAGAAGCCTGTCTGCTGCCCCAGGGCACTTGGGGCATTCCATGAGTCTGCCCTCTACCTCTACCCCCACGGAGACAACGCTGCATTTTCATCCTCTGATCGTGGCTTGTGCAGGCTTCTACACTGTGTGCTTCTCACTAACTTGGTGAACCCGTCTTATTTTGAATGGCCCATCTATGGATCCAAAGAGGCTGTCCCACCCCACTGGTCCACAGAGGAACGGGGCAACAGCATAGCACAGGTCAGGGCTCTAATCTTCAGAGCCAGACACTTCAGAAGCTGGGAACAGTGTGTATTCTTTTGCTATCCGTGCATCATAGCCAAGTTACGCTCGTTTGGTTGTGGTCTAATTTTTTTTTTTTTTAAAACAAAAACTCTTAAGAGCCCTGCATGTTCTTTCAGAGGGCACGGGTTTGATTCCTAGCATCCGCATAATCATCTGTCACTCCAGTTCTGGTCTTCACAGGCACCAGGCTTTCCATGGCACACAGATACACATGTAGGCAAAACATCCATGCTCATAAAAATAGACACATATTTACTGTGTAGGGCGCTTGGGAAGAGGTTTTCAATAGGATATGACCCTGTCCTACAGTCTGAA